TTTAATTGGGACGGGAACAAATATCTTAATCAAACTACCGGGACCAGTAGTGGGTATGTTCTTTTGTGGGCAGTGCGACATTGCTTCTAATATTTTATGATAACAGCGTTGTTCAAGATATCCGGTAGTCCACAAGGTCTTCGTTTACTGACTTTGTTTCTCATTTCATGTCGGCGGAATGCTGTGGTAATTTTGAGTAGTAATGATTTAATATTGTCGTGAGTCGAGCAACCGCAGGTTACACTGAACACAATTAAGCCTAAAAATAGTGGCATTTTAAATATGCCCGCATCGGTCATGGATTGCTCAATTGTAAATTGTACTCATGCAATGAGATTTTAACGCCGACTCTGGGATTTTTATAATAACGATGTCTTGCCTAAAAATAATCTCAACTCAAATTTGAGGAATCCCAAAATCGCTAAAATACGATTCCAGTCTATATATAGTTGGCAGTTTAGCACGTATTTTATTTCAGAATAGTGATCTTTCATTTTAGTAATCTCGCGTCAAAGTCGAGTAACGACGAGCACAATTAAATTATTAGGACAAGAAATTTTAAATGCTCGAATCGGCCATGGATTGAATACTTTACGCCACAGAAAACTCGCTAGCCGCTGAAAAAGTTTTTTTTAACAGGTTGCCTAATAGCGAAAAAGTTTTCGATTCCAATTTTGAAGACCCATCCCTTGTCATATTTCGACGCTACTTTTGTCAAATTTTATTAATGCTTCTTTGAACAGTTAACAAAATTATCCAATTAGGTATTCTGATAAGTAATCGAATATCTCGCGGAGCCCCTAGGTTTCTCCCACGGAGCCCCGGGGCTCCGTATGGAGCACTTTGAGAACCTATGGTCTATATTATATCGATCCCCAAACCGGGGTTTTGTAACCATTTCCTGTGATTGTTAGGTCAAATCCAGAATCAAAGGTGCATAAAGCATGCATCTAAAGTCAAAGCATGATTTTTGATAAAACTAAACGCTGACGAAAATTCCCACGCATGCAAAATTTCCCCGGATAAACAGTTTTTATTCCTCGAAACGCACTTCAATAACAAGAGAGCTATGCTCAAATATATGGACACGTCACAAGGTGTCGCTATTTTTAATTTTGACACATAAAAAACGAATCTCTTGAAGTCCACAGAATTTTTTAAAAGAAGTAAAAGTGATAGCCTTCTGGCAAAAAATCAATCTTTAACTACTGAAAATTTCAAAGCAACCGGTCCTGTAATCAAAGAGAAAAGCGACTTTTTAAAAACGTGTTAAAGAACAAGAACAACATAATATTGAAATGATCGATATGGGGGGGGATCGTTATTGACAGGTGGAACACGTGGGGGCACTACCGAAGTACCAAGACGGCGGACATCGGAACGTAGTATGTGTACCAGGTGTAATTTCAGGTACCAAACTACGAGAGTCACTTGGCTAGGTCCCGAACTCGTAATAAAACTAATTCCATGAAATTTTGACATAATTTAGATAAAATAAACAATTATCATCTAGTATTTGGTTCTTTTTCATTAGCGCATAAATTTCCCAACATTCGACGCTTTTAAAAAGTACGCTCCAGTTATACGTAGTGCAAATTAATGATATTGTCTATGGGCACCAATAAAATTTATATGGACGTGTGTATTTCTTTCCTAACTTAATACTTACCAATTTTTATGAAGTTTGTACAATCAGAACATCGGTAATTATTACCCACAATGAACCACTGTCAAACTATCATGAACAACTCCAGCGTTTATTTGCGACGATCCATTGATGGTGTCAATAACCGTTGCCAGAATAAAATCCTGAAATAATCTCAATATTTCATAGATGTGACGCACATCGAAAGATTAGTAATTGATATGTGTTCTTTTACATATATATTACAGATTTTATCAAAAAAGTAATACAATCCTTAAGGAAAAAACTGGCCTATGGCGCCGTACTAAAATTCCGATATCTCTGTTATTTATTGACCATTTTTTATAAACTTGGTATTGTTTTTTTTTATTTTCAATCAGATCTATCCACTGGCGCAGTTTTTATTTAAATCGGATAAACTCCAATTTCTTTGTAACACACCTACATGAATATCCGCTTTTAAGCAGAACAAAAGTTAGTGTGACTTGTGAAATTGGAGCAGTACGCGAGGGATTACAGAACTGTTAGCGCAAAATGCACATTCGACGTTTATTTTACCACAAGAAAGGTAAACAGTTTCGTCGAAAGCACGCACCACGAGTGTACAAGTGCATCTTTCGCAGGAAACGTTGCGTAGCGGGAAAGAATTTTAGCCTATTTTGTCACAGCTATTTCTAGACTAATTTTCATTGCTACTATTAAAACTACAACTCCTGAGGAGGCAAATGCTGATTGACTTAATTGATTCATACTTAAATTTCTGAAACACAACCAAAAACTAACGAATAGCATTCAAAGTCGCAAAAATGAAGTATTGTTTACAACCACGACTGAAAATCTGTCAGGGTGACAAAAGTGTCTGAGCGGATGCGAAAAGACCTATCATTACGTCACTTTTTTTCAGGAGCTCTAGAAGTATGTGCACCAAGATGGCGGACAACTGAGCATAGCCTAGTATGTGTACCAGGTTAGGGTCCAGATTGTGCGCCATCTTGGTGCACATACTTCAGGAGCGCCCTTTTTTGTATCTTGCTGATTGGTCAATGTTACGAAATAAACAAGGAAGGCGATGCTCGGAAAAATCGCCCATTGAAAAAAATTTAGTCTTTTTTGCGTGTTATTGCGGGCCGGATGAAATGACGCCGCGGGCCGGATCCGATCCGCGGGCCGTAGTTTGGTGACCCCTGCTGAAGACTGTAGAGAATTTATTATTATTTACATTCAAGCGCTCATCAGTTGTGTTTTCATTGAAAAGTAAAAAGACGACATGAACGCTACAAAAATGTGCTATTCATTTTTGAGAATCCATTTAATCAGTGTATTTAAAAATATACTGGTATTCTGTATCCCCTAACTAATTCATAGATGTGCCGGTACGACAATGGAGCAATGAATAGATATAAACCAACGATTTTAAAATACTGGACTAACTACAAAAAGTACAACAATAACATTATAACAAAACGATCCATCGTGTCAAAAACGAAATAGTACGGGTAGGCTATGCATTTGCTTACTATGCGTCCCGTGCGCCCCAGGCGTCATTTAAACAGGCCTAAACAGACCCCGTGGTGGTGTCCGGTGTTGCATTCGTTAAATAAAACAATTTAAAGTGGCCAGAATAATGTGATGAAAATTTATACTGAACTGAAAACTAAATTCAATGGGGTTTGGACAATAATAATCAGAAAAAAATAAATAAATTGGCTATATATAGGTATATAGGCTAAATCAGGCTTTGGTGCTACCCGTACATGATGCGCAATTTTTGACGACGACTCGCCTTCCAGCGAAAAATACGAGCAAAAAATATGTCGATGCAATTGATCCAGTAATAAAAAGGAAAGCGTTTTTTTTTTATAACGATAGGAAGAAAATACCAACACCAAAATTATGAACAGCAACACATAGAAAAACGATCCATACGCACATTTCGTGTCAAAAAACGAGTGGCGCGCCTAGAGGGGGGCGAGAGGGGCGGCCGCCCCGGGCAGCACGTTGTAGGGGGCAGCAGAACCAAGATGTTGAGTCTGCGTTATTACACATAAGACATATTTTTTGTTTTGTTTGTTTTATTAATCAAAAGCTGACATTGTGTGTTTAGTATTGTGCGACTGACTGTGGTAATGATGAGTCAACAATGGATGTTTCCCCGACCGTCTCTACCTAGATTTATTAATTGCAACATTTTTGGTGCTCATTTTAAGAGTGGTTTCGCTAGTTTACGCCTTAAACTGGCTAATATAATGTCTCAAACAATCATTTAGTTCCAAATTGGCAACCCTGTTATTAAAAAGTACCGATCTATATCACAGCTATTTCTAAACTAACTTTTGATTGTTCTATTCAGTTCAAGAGTCTTGCTGCACACGAACACAAACATATTTCTGTAACATTTCGTCGAATCTACAAACATCACTAAAAGGACTTCAACAATTTGAAGAAAATTACACTGAAAGAAACCAGACTACAACACCACAAGCGGAGCCTAAAGCACTTCGTAGCAACAGGGACATCTCCTAAAGGTCTCCAATTTACCTATCGAAACGTTACAGAAATATATTTGTGTTCGTGTGCAGCAAGACTCTTGAATTGAATAGCCATTTACACTCTTGTTACAGCATCCTTGCGTAATACGCATACGGATCCACCTGCGCAAAGGCATATAGAGCAAGGAAAGGTAGTTAAGTTTCACGCAACCTCAACTGTTAGTTAACTTTTGATTACTGTAAATAATTATAAAAAGACAGAATAATTGAGTTATATTTCATTCGTACTGAAATTTCCGCAACATAAACAAAAATTAACAAATTGCACGGGAAAACGAGGTCATGTTTACAACCATGCCAGAAAATCTGTCTGTTCGGCTGGCAAATCGTATACTGTAACGCTTTTCCGAAGTTGAAACGGAAATTTTCCAAAAAAATGCTAAAGATTTTCTTCTTATTCGATTGAGCTTAGCTGGGAAGTTTTTCCAGCATTTTGCATTACATATCGTTTATTATTTACAATCGAATACTCAATTGCTAGTTGCGAATGATCTTTCTCCAAGTTGAAACAGATAAAAACATATTTGAGGTATTCGATGTCAAATTAGCGCTTGTCCATTTCTCTTCGATTAGCATCAAAAAGAAATTCCTGACGAGCGAGGTGGAAGAGGCTGTCGTTCACACATTTGTTAACAGCTAAGTGGCGATTTGACATATAAATAAGTGACTTGCTTTTTGTTAATACATGAGTTAAATCGTATACGTGTTGTTTAGTTTATTGATTAATACAAACATTTCACTCTTACTTGACCTTTAATTTATTTATTTTCATGTATGACGACATCTATATTCTGTTTAACCCCCGAAATATTTTTTTAAGTTAGGGATAAGGGGCAGCATTATCAGAAACTCGCCCTGGGCAGCAGAAAAGTTTGGCACGCCCCTGGATATACGGTATCTTATATTTCTTGTCGTACAGCAACAGTCGGCTGCAGATGTAAAGAGCCGGGTGTGGAGATTTACTATCAATCAGCTGGTCGTTGGCTGCATCACGGTAATCTGCGATTAGTTTGCGATTACGTTCTGCTGTCAGAATATGGTGTTGAAATGAATGATTAGGATCGACATGCAGAAACATAACATTAATGAACGTGTCAACAGGAGAGAATCTGAAAAAGTGGCTAGTAATCGCCATGCATTAATACTGGTATTCTCGGTGGTCATCACAACTGTTCTCGTATTGCTGATTTTCTTTGGGAAGGTACGTACTGACACACGGTACTTACAGACTAAAAACAATAATTTGCATTCCATGTGGGATATGGGAATAAAATATTATAAATACCTGACAGCCTCAAGCAAATATCAATGGCATTATGACAGCCACAAGCATACAATGCTGCAATGTGTGATAACAATAATTTCAGCAGAGTTTCATCGTAGTTTGGGAACCAGGGGCATTTAAAAAAAGATCAGCTCTCTCGGGCATGCACTTGTCACATAATCTAGACTGGGCCCATATTACCTTACTCTGTTACAGTGTTACTAGACACTTTAAAATTGAGTACTCTTTGAGAATTATCCCTGAACAATATTATCTGTAGAACATTATAGCTTAGGCCCTTTTGAGCTGCAAACCAATCTTGACAGCCTGATGTGATTTATCCCAGTCTATTTGCCATACTTTATTGTTACTCAATTTTCAAGGGTATAACATCACAATCTTGTGATTATGACAATGGTTGTGACGAGTTTGAAGATGAGGTGATCATTTAATCTGAATATTTTGAGTGATGTTTAATACAATTAATGATAAATCAAATTTACTGATGATTTAGATATAAGATAGATAAATTGTGTAGCAAATCTACTATTTTCGATCTATAATGCCAGATCTGTGAAATAAACGCGTATTATATAGTAGTACATTTTAAGGAGTTACCTAGCAATATTAAGCAAATCAAAAAATTAAGATCACAGAACGATAGAATTTAAGCCACTTATATATTGATGTAATAGGCCCATGCCATGACAGACACTTACTGACAGTCTATCGAAATGGAATAAATTGGGACCATGTTTTTGAAAAATTGTTGTTCATATTGGATGTAATAGGTTTTTAAATAGGAAATATGTTAGTAAATATCATTATAGTAATTTGTTTCATTTCATTCTGAATTTTTAATTAAATTCATTTTTAAATTTAATACTTTTGTTCATGTCTTGATACTGGAATATCGTTGCAAATAAATGTACAATTCCTGTTGTGTAATGGAAAATATTGCTCTTACTGTCTTAAATTTTTTTTTTCTCATCAAAATCAAACCTAACCTGAGTTGACCAAGAGTGATAATCATAAATTGTTGTAACTTTTGGATACTAACAAATTAGGATTTGAACTACCTAATTGTGTTTTTTGCATGTGTTTGAAATGGGTAGGTGTCCAGTAGTCATAGCAAATGTTTCAAATGGAATTTATTTTTAAATAAGATTTTATTGGAAATGAGATTAGAATTAAAATTATTTTATACTTTATAGTTCATTGTAAATGAGTAAGTCACAAATCATTTCTAGAGATCGTCATAAAAGATGTGACTAAAATAAAAATTGTGGGTACAGGACTTTCATTTTTGAAATTTTTACAAAAAGTGTTCCAATTATAAAACTAACTGTGTTAATATTTATTCTTTACCAATCAATCTATTATGGTATAATCAAGTGAAGTTGTTGTATAAAAGCAATATAAAATTTGGAAATTAGTTTTAGTGTCAACTTTTAATAATATCAATCTACAATAGTGTAACTTTTTTAAAGTTTTTGCTCTTCTATTCCACTCATTTCTATAAAAACCAAATCTTACCATTACTATACATTTTACCCATGTAGAGTCCATTGTTGACACAATCACAATGCATGCAGAAACAATGTTCTTCAGGAAATCTAGCAGAATATTCATATACTGTTACAAGACACACTGATGTTAATGGAGAGGTAAGATCAGTACTTTCATCAGTGTGCTTAGGAAAACTAACATTTATATAACTTTTTGTATTTGCTTTGTTCTTGTAGGATCTTATGCATGTACAAGCAAGAGATCTTGAAGTTGTGAAGAAAGTTTGTGATTTGTTTGAAAGCTGTGCAGGTTCGAAATTTGTTTTGAAGCAACAATTTTTTAAAGTTAGACATTTGTTTCGCTACTCAACTTTTTTTTATCAGAATTGAGACTCCCGCTATTTTCACAAACACAAATATAAAATAATTTCTATAAGTTAGTTATTTTGATAATATAGAAAGAATCAGAATGATTATGTGGACTGGTTTAATTCATACATTGCAATTCGGCAAATTTCCTTCAGTAAATTTTTGCCTCACCAGTAAGTCTCTCTAAACTTGCAGTTTATGAATTTTCTTTCCTTAGTGCTGTTATCTACTTGCTGAGAAAGACTAAGACAAAGTATTAGAAAATAAAATTTGTAAAACTAGATGACTTTTTAACTACTCAGTGTTATATTATGTTTTTCCTGAAAAACTTTTGCAACAATCATTGATATGTTTAGGATTCAACAGTAATGGTTGGCTGAAAACTAGAGTTTCTATTCGTGTATCTGGACCTGCTGATTTATATATAAAATCGGAGAGTAAAAGCTTACCAGTAAGTGCTTGTCATCCTCATGATTAACCTAGGCTAACTGAGTCCTTATTCAGAAAATAAAAATGCAAGAATTTTTTTATGCTTTTATTATTTGCCATACACAAAATATAAGTATGATTGAAGCTGAAGAAAAGATCGCTTCTCTCTGAAGGTAATGAGCTAGTCAATTTTATATTTTCAGTACTTTAAGTAAGATGTCTGCTGCCCCTAGAAAGTTATCACTTTCATTTTTCTAATTTCCGTGTGATTTCTATCGAACCTGTTATTTTACCCAATCTTTTAATTCATCCGAATACTTTCACATGATAAGTGAGAATATTTTATATGATGTTTAGCCTTCTTGTTAATATATTTAAGCATTATTTTCTATTATGATTTAACCGAACCCATTTTAATTTATAGAAAAGCAACTCTGAAATTTATTCATCATCTGGTTATTCTGACGACTACAGCGAAATGTTAAATAAAATGAAGGTTAGATTTAGTTCTAGATTTGAACACGGCCATTATAGCTAACAACAGAGCTGAATATACTTTCATTGATAAATATTTTTTTCTCATTTTCAATGTTAACGTAATCAAATATTTTTTGCATGTCCAACACTCATTATATTATAAAACCATTGGTAGGCTCTTTTTGCATTGCGAGTGGCTAAACCGAGTGACTTAACTTTGTTGGTATCGAAGATTGCATCTCGGTTTTCAATCCCATGCGGAACAGCAGCGTACGGCAGTGCCGAACCTGGAAAGACACTGGTCTTTCAAATATCAGTAGCTCCTAACATATCATTTGATATCTGTGACTGCTCATACAGGGCCTTGTTCAGAGATAACCGTTTGTCACATTCTCAACTAAGATGATGAAGGTTGTAAAACATTTCCCATATTTTCTAAGAATTAGTTTGACAAATATTGATTCTTCAATAATAAATATAATATAAACTTTGAACATTCAGATTTACATTTATGACACCAACATTGGGCAAAAGCTCAGAACGGTCCGCAGTGGGGGATATGGAGTAGAAAGGGCAGTGATTGACCAGCTCCTCAAGTCTCATTTCCGAACAAGGGTAATGATGAATCCATTTTTAATTTTAATTCATGCTTATTCTGTACAGTTTACATACAGGGTATGTCAAGAGTTGAATGTCGTTGATAGTGAATCTGATCTTCTTGTTGAAGGGAGTTTTTTTATAATATTCTGATCTGTATTTCACATTCAGCATATGTGTTATAAATTGGAGTCGTTTTGCAATACATATGCCTGTGAGGAACAATGCACCTACATGGCATTTGTTATCGATTCCTACATTTTGTTGTATAATAATATTCAAATTGAAATGGTTAGCTACTAAGTAAGAAGTAGGCCTATGTATGTAGAGAATTTCATATAGAAATTTTTTTATTTTGGTTAGACTGCGGAAGAAGCAACATTCTATTTCATTCCAATTCGATGCTCGTCTTATATACTGGGATCTTCTATGGAGGAAGAAGGAATAATGGAAGCAAGACGATATGTGGGAAATATGATTGAACAAATACAAACGATGTAAATTGATATTTATTTAATTTGTTTTTGTGCACTTTAAGCTTTAAAATTGAAAAAAATGTGCCCCAGGCATATAACAAGAATGCATGAAACATTCGCCTGTAATGGTGATTGTTACCTGTGTTTATAATGTCTTTAATATGTTTAGTATTGTTTAATATGTAAAGTATTTTCGAATTTGCACTAAGAAATTTTCTTAACCACATAATATGCTTCTAAAAACAAAGGAACAATGGTCTAACTAAAGCTGACAACTTATAATATTTTTGTACTTGAGGAGATTATAATATTTGAAACCCAGGAATCATAAGGACTGGGCAATATCATGGAATAGTAAATAATCAGATTTTATTCCAAGGTATCCATACTGGCGCAGATCTGCTGGAGCTGATCATTTTTATGCTTGTTCCCATGACATTGGTGCTGGTATTGGCAAAGATTTGCTGAAAAATGCAATTGCTCTTGTTAACACAGCTGACTATGAAGATCCATATTTTATTCCTCACAAGGTACTTTTCTAAGATCACATTTTCGATAGAAAAAACAAAAAACATATTGCAGTAAATACTTCCTAAAATTTATTAATAATCCTATTTTGTATTAATGATTTGTCAATGGCGAACAGTGATTTTCATTTTATGTTGTCACCTTTTTAGTATAAGTAAATTGGATAGGCTAGGCAGACCTTGAAAAGAAATCATTTGGCATATCCATTTATCGGCGCCCCAGAAGTGTGTGTATCAATATGGAGGTACCGTAACTAATTTTGTTCGCCTACTTTACATCAAGTTGTGTAAAGGGACTGAAAGCTATGGGCAGGGGGTATATTCCCTTAGCTAACACAGACAGTCGCTGAACTCGTAATGGAACTAAAATAAGGAAAATCGGCCTAACCCTAACCTGGTACACCCATTTATCAACCTATAATCTAAGGTTTTCACTTAATAGAAATAGTAACTAATTCAAACATACAATGAAAAAAGTGCAGTCATTGTTTTGACAAAAAAGATATACAGTCCTCGCTGCTCTCAAACTTGTAACACCCTAATATCTTAAGTTCATAATAAGTAATGTGTTTTATTTTTTAGGATATAAGCCTACCTCCAAACACCATGCATGGTCCAGGCAGTCTCCCCACTGTTGGCAAAGGTGGTTCTGATATAGATCCTAAAAGTCGAAAAATTTTGGCATTTTTTGCCGGAAATCTGGCAAGGTAGAGTATTACTTGTTCAATTTGTTTCAAATAGGTAGCATTTAATTTAGAATACATGTGCTTGTGTGACTAGCAATTAATGTATAAATCAAGTGGATTAATTTTTTTCAATTTTTGGGCACATTGTACCAATTTTTGCATGTTTCATCATAAAAATTGTTATCTTTCTATATGAATAGATCATATATATGAAGCTCTGTTATGAATGAGTAATATTTAATTTATCTGCAGCCAGTTTGTAAATTTCATGAGATAATTTTATTTTTACAGTGGTAGAATTCGGCCAACGATTCAGAATCATTTTTTCAATGACCCTGACTTCACTATTATCGATCGAGAAGTGTCTTGGAGTGCTTATCTTAATTATTTGAAGCAGTCCAGGTTTTGTCTTGTGCCAAGAGGTAGAGAGGTATGAATAACATCTTTTATGTGTCGCAAATCAAATGAATAACGGCTTATTTCAATGATCTTGAGGTTTTCATCTTCTTGCGTAATATGTCAAAAATTATATTGAGCAAAATTTGGTGGTTATGATGTTAAAGTGTAAAGATAATAACAAAATGGATATATTTCAATACTTTTAATCAATGATATTTTGTATTCTTTGTTAAATGATCAACATCATATCTGTCATTCATTTTTTCATCATGGTACTTAAAGCTCTTTCATTAAATATTTTATTTTCTAGGTTTGGTCACCCCGTTTGATGGATGCTGTATTTTATGGATGCATTCCTGTTATCTTGTCTGATCATTATCACCTCCCTCTTCAGGGTATTGTCAATTGGAGTGAATTTTCTGTCATTGTGCCAGAGTCACAGGTACTTGTATTGAAAATTACTGTAATTATATTCGAAAATTACTTTTTTGTTCCTTGGTCTCATTATATCTATAGTACTGGGAAGTTCACCTAAATTTTTAATTATTTTGTTATTAACATAAAGCCAATTGTTTTGCTAAGCAATATCAGCATGATGCTCATATCATCAAAAAAATTCATATCTATGGCCAATGCTCTAAATTTCAGATGTGGAATTAGAATTTAGTTACCGGTATTCTTTTACTAGTGGTCCATCCCCATCGCCGAGTGATGGAAAAAGAATAAGATACAAACAATCCAATTTTTAGTCACAGGACCAGTGATGGGAATAAATTTACTTGCTTTCGGCCTGACAGCTTCAAGTTTCTTTTGCAAATTGCAAAGGCAACCCTCGTGAACCGTATCCTAACTTTTTGATGAATTTGACTTCTATCAAATGAAAAATGGTCCCAAGTAATGTCATGCAGAGCACAAACGTCTTGATGTGAAATGGTTTATCAAAATTCGTTGCATTTAGTTATCCATACTCCCTGAAATAGTATATTCATATTAGCAGACAGGTTTATGTGAATGACTCTTATATTAGTTAGATATTAAAAGCTAATTTTTGTCACAAATTACTTCCACAGGTAGCAAAACTCAAGTCGATCTTACTCAATATTCCAGATTCTAAGATAGCAGCAATGCAAAACGTACTCAAACGGGTTTATATTCATTTTGTATGGAATAATCCAGCACAACCTCATGATGCTTTTTATTCTGTTATGTATCAGTTGTGGAAACGACGAGATGTTGTTCGATATTCTCGTAAATGAATTTTCCTTCAGAAAACAGGTTATTCATTCGATTATGGGCAGGTACTCAATGTTAAACATATACCGTATATGTCAAATACGTAAACCTAGTTTTTTCAGCAATAGAAATTATTGTTTTTTTCTCTGTATCACTGTAAATTCTTTGGAAGTCGTTATTCTTTCTTTTAGTTGGAAATGATTTGTTTGCAATATTCTTTAGTGTTTTATTTTGATATTTTTAAAGATTATATCATCTTACACAATAAATTGGAATATACACAGCACAGCACATTTAATGATTGTTTCCATTTAACGTACTTGTTTCCATTTTGTGTACTGTTTTTTTTCTATATTCTAATTTTTCACCATGTCTTGCCAATTCTTTATATTTAGCTCTCTCACATGACCCAATATTTCAACTGTGTTTGATAAATTTTCATTTATGCAATTATGCAATCATGACAAACAATTTGACTTGACAGTCTTTAAAACATGACCAACTAATGAATGGTTGATATATACAATATAATGGTGAGGTCTAGAATTGGAAAATTTTAGTATGTCAACAAATGACTTTAAATTGAAAATATATATAAAGGGAATCTATAATGAATATGGTTTATCAGAATCATTAATTATATAAATATGATTCATATGTACCCTAATTCAAGTGTAATAACTTATTATAGTGATTGCCCTCTATATCTTGTTTGTAGTCAATTTTAATTTCTAGTGAAGGTGGTCAGTTATTTGCCAATTTCTATGCCAAATAATGGAGAACAGCAGTGAACTCATGTGACCTGCAATTTAATATTACTGATTAAATAGCATTTGTGGCTCGATCCTGTGTATGTGTCAATATTTTTTTTATTTGAAGCAAAATTTAGGTAAGTTTCATCGAAAATTTTGGGCACTAATGTTTTTTTTCATTCACAAAAGTTTTTAATTAGCAGAGTGGCCTATTGTTGAAAAAAATCCTTAATGCCTCAATTCTCATACACCTCCATCTATCTTTACATGAGATTATGTAACTTTTGAAATTTAAATGAACTGTTTTAGTGGGACTTTTCATTGTCTCTCAGAGATTTACAATTGGGTATTTGGGGAATTTTTTTCAGATTTTGACCTAATGAAATGTTTTATGTGATCAAGGTAAACACATAGTTTATTTTCACGAATGCGTACTTGGGTGATTTTAAACAGGTCATTCTTATTTTATTTTGCACTTCAATATTTGTATAAAAGCATACTTTTCATTGTTACTTGAAGATTTTCCCGAATATTCTTGTTAGATTATGCTGTAGCTTCTAGGTCAAAATATTGCTGTTAATTATCACGATCAATGTGTTTATTATGAATATGTGCAGGCTTTTATTCATAGTTTCTCTGGGATAAGTGGTCATATACATGGGTACTTCAATCTAGCACCGAACTATTTGTGAATTAAGTTTTTATGCTATTATACCTCGGGCTGGGGAGTCGGGAGATGGAGCCGTGACATATTAATGAAGTCAGACCTTCAGCTGAGCTGGCATGATATGTGTAGCCGGAGCTTACAGAAAATTTCGGTGGCTTCAGCTCCAGAGGATGGAAATACTTTTTTACTTTCTGATTTTTCAATAATTCTTAGGGTTGCGGAAGAACTGTGCTCGGTAATTACGCGGTAATTTTTAGCTTGTCCAAAGACGCAAACAGAAATGTTCGAATATCGGATATCAAGTGATGACCAATACCGAATCATTCACTATTTCGAATACGTTTTGAATTATTTTTTCGTGTTTTTACTGCATACATTATGCTATGTTGAAAAATTTGGAAATATATTTAATAGTCCTTGAATTTCAACAATCAATTGTGCTCTCTTATCTATTCTCAAATTACCGTTGAGCCGCATTCTACTTTCCCCCGGATTATGATGGATGGATATAAGCTAACAGATGATAAGTATATTCAATCAATTTATTAGTGTTCTGAATAGTATTGAATTCTATTGCGGATCTTAATATTTCAATTTTGCAAGATCGCGAAAATACAAATCAAAATTAAATATAATCTGGCAATTTTCCACACATTTTACGTCCGTAGATTGCCGTTTATTTTCGAATGGTAATGCTTTTCTTTTTTCGTAAGTTTATGCAACCGTGAGCTACGCTGAACGGGATAAAAACAGAAAGGCGAAGCATTTCAAATGCTGGTATCGGTTCTGGATTAAATCTTTTGCTTGCGCAATAGAAAATCGTTATCTGATTAAATTAAGTGGAAATGTCCGCCACGCTTCCGTGCGAGAAAGCTGCAACTCGCACTGAAGAATGAAGATAAACAATCTAACAAGTCTGTTTCATCGTTATGAAAACGCGTGACAAAGCGCAGAAAATCGTTTGAAGATTGCCCTCGAAAACAAAAACACCTTGCGAAAAGTGGCTATTATTTTAAACTTGCTGAAAAAGTATTGAAATTCTCTGATATTCCATTCGTTTTGGACAACCCTGGACCTAACGACCTACACTGATAAAATTTTCTGCCGTGAAATGTAGCATTAATTTATTCTGATATACTTTCTATATATGTTTCATTCTTGGAAAATACGAGCAGTCGCGGCCGTTAACAGGGTTGCACGCTTATTGCGTTTTTTGCTATATAATCAAATTACCATACTACTAATATTTATTGATGTCGATTCGTGGCCAATTTAACCGGCGGTTTAACTCACTATTTTTCAAGGTAAGGCTACAAATAAATTCGCACCGTAAGTGTGTTTGAACCAGGACACGTGTTTTTATTCCAGTCTACCCTCCGCAACTGCTAATTTAAAAGTAATCCTATTGTAATTTTGCATTGTTCTCTAGTGGCGAAGAATTGAAGTGCAGTTCACCAGTGCCTAACAGTACATTTGACAGTTTGAAGAGATGGGATAAAATACAGAAAAGTTTTCCAATCGAGGTTAATAGCGCTCAAAACAATGATAGAGGTTCGCCAAAATATTGACAAGCATTGCCATACTCTTAAAGTAGCGTGAACTGAATGCTATTGTTATGCTAAAAGCTTAATTCAGGAAATATATACTGTTGTTCACAAATTTTACCCCTATAACTAGGGATGGGCAATATAGAATAATTATTTACTATCGTAGAATACTTGAATCGAATACATAATACCGAGTCCTATTCTATTTTCATTGTTATTCAAATTTGAAAATTCTCCCACCATATTGATGGATAATAATTTAAAAAAAGAAAAAATGATTGGATTATATTTGTTACCAAACGGGACAATTAAATATAAGAATTTTAACGAATGCCTTTTGCCTTGAATTGTTCATGTGCCCCCTAAATACTATGTTGAAACAAATCATGTATTATACACTTTTTAGTACTGAAATCTAAGTTTTCAGTTATTATTCTTATATATTAATGTTGCTTAATGCCCTTCAATGGTATATGGCCTGATGAGGAATTGCCTTCGCCACGTATGGCAACTTTTTTAATGTATCGTTGATTAAAATACCACACGACACTCGACCAAACGTGTGTCAAGCTTGGACCATAGAAACGGATTCAATCAGCGACTCAAATTCCGAAAAATATGTATTTTATTGGGAGTGCAATATAAATGTAACAAAACGCATTGTTATGCGTTATAATTTTGTATTTTCGGAAACGATGTATTCTGATAAATGAAATTTGTTCTAAATTAATCGCAAATAATATTTTAACATCTGACGTCTGGTACACATCTTTTTCCTGGAGAACTCGGAAGGCCGCGATAGGACATTTAATTTGAAAAAAATAAAGAATGTTTCACGTAGTCAATGTTCTATTTACTTACAGAATCATAGATAAATATTGTTTCTTTGCAGTGGCGGCGCGTCAATAGGGCCAACCGGGGCAATGCCCCGGTTGTTTTTTCGGTATAATAAAAAATATTCGAAAAATACCTCCATATCGGTTGCACAGACTGTCTACACTAGCCATATTCTCCAGACATGGTTCATTTTTCGCTCGCAAAGCCTTCGCCGAACGTCGACGGGGCGACGCCGATTTTGCCCCGGTTGCTCATTGTATATCGTATTCTCTCTTTTATCTTCCACTCGCCGCGTTTGTTTTCTGTTTTTTTTTACTAAATCATCGGGGCTAGCCCCGAAATTATGACGACACAATGCCGACGTTTCTTACAACAACGTGTTGACATATTCACGCATTCCTTCTCGTTCGTTGGTTGCTTGAAGAGTTGATAGTCGCCTTCGTTTTTGTCGCTTGTTTCGCTATTTGAATCAGTTAGAGACCTTTAGTCCATTTGCTTTCGATTTTCCACATTCCTTTTGAGCTCCTCACTTCTTTCCGGCTTCGCATTTCTTAGCCTTAGACCTCGTAATGAATAAGGTTGATGCACTACTTCGCACTCCGTTTTCGCAGCTGCCGCTGGAACAAAAATTAGAGGTACAACGTCTTGGGCCTTATCAACCAAAAAATTGTTCACTGGAACAATCCCATGACGGAGGAAAGCGTCGGCGTACATTCTGCGCAGAAACTTGGTATAAAAAACACGAATGGTTGTGTTACAGCGAGGACAAAAATGCACTTTTTCGTTTTTATTGCCTACTTTTTGCTACCGCCCGTGACTCACGTTGGTGTAAATTTGGTTTTAGAGATCTTAAACATCTTTCCGAGCGTGCCAGGGATCATCAATCTTCTATGGAGCATCTGGACAATGCAGTAAGATACCGAACATTCGGAAATGTTAATATTGCAGCACAGTTGGATGAAGGACGCGCGGTTTCTATTCGTCGGCACAACCAAAACGTCAAGAAAAACCGCCATGTTCTCGGTCGATTGATAGATGTTTTGAAGTTCATTGGTTGTCACGAGCTGTCCCTCCGTGGGCACGATGAACGGGCTGGCTCTTCTAATAGAGGGGTATTTTTGGATATGGTGGAATACACCGCATCCCTAGATACAGTATTGAGAGATCATCTTGATGCCGCAACTGTTTCGAAAGGGACATCTAAGGATATCCAAAATGATTTGCTCGACTCAATGTATAAAATTTATTTACAACATTTGGCTCTGGAAATTGAGAATTGCCAGTTCCTTTCGATTCAGTCTGACGAGACAACTGACATCACGTGCGTTTCCCAACTGGCTGTGATTTTTCAGTTTGTGAAAGATGGTAAACCTACCGAGAGATTTCACAGCTTTGTACCAATCGTTGATCGCACGGCTTGCGGGATATCGGCTGTACTGAAAGAAGTGTTACAGCCTTACAACGCGAAGTCAAAATTGATAGCTCAAACTTATGACGGCGCGGCAGTCATGAGTGGGTCGAAACATGGTGTTCAAGTTTATATAAAAGAAGATTTTCCTCATGCGCATTTTTTACATTGTTATGCACACCAATTTAACCTCGTTATTGAAAATATGTGTCTTGATACCCCTCTCGTCCGTATCTTTTTTGCAAATGTTTCGGGGTTTTCTTCATTTTTTTCCGTTTCGCCGAAGCGCTCTGACCTCCTTCGCCAGATATGTAGCCGCCGTCTCCCAGCTTGTGCACCAACACGTTAGAACTTCCAATCACGCGTGGTGCAGGGCGTGTCCGAAATTAGGTCTGAGCTCATTGAGTGTTTTAATGGCATTCAGAGCTCTCCGGTTTGGGACGAACGCTCTGTGAGGGAGGCGGCAGGTCTAAAGCGTCTGCTAGAAGATGGTGAGTTTTCATTTTTTCTCGCTTTTTTCTCCACAATATTCTATCACGTGGATGTATTATACGGCGCATTGCAGTCAAGGCTAATGGATGGAGCGTCTGTGCAGTCGTGTATTTCAGACTTCTGCGATGCTGTATCTCGTATCCGGGAAACAGTAAAATACGACGACACGTACATAGAGTGCTTCTTTATGCCGCGGGCAAACAACGCAGCGTTTGATTTTGTCTGCAAAGGAATGCTGTGACATTCTGGTGAATCAAATAGGCGATCGTCTGCGCACTGAACACCTTGCCGCGTTCTCTTTGATGAACCCCAAAAATTTTTCAAAATTTGCACGTCAGTTTCCCATCCATTTGTTGACTACTGTCTCCAGATTTCACCCCATGATAAACGTGGGTAAATTGAAAAATGAATTGTGATGTATATACACCAATCAAACTTTTTTGAACATCACATCAACTTGCGCGCTCTATGGGTTCCTCATAGATAACACTCTAGTAACTACCTTTGCGGCGTCTGCAAAATTTCTGGACATCATTTCGACGACGCCTATTTCTTCCGCCGACGCAGAGCGAACATTCAGCACGCTGAAGCGTATCAAAACGTATCTCAGAAACACAATGAAGCAAGATAGATTAAATTCCTTGGCTGTTTTATCCATTCACAGAGACGTTATTTCTGGGATGAATGACTTTAATCAGCGCGTTATTGAGCATTTTGCTTCCA